GATGTTTCTCTCTCATCGATGTTTCTAACTCTCTCTCTCCCTTCCTCTCTGAAAAAAATCAATAAAATATATTAAAAAAAAATTTCTAAAAAAAATAAAATAAAAAATTAAAAAAAAACTGAGGGACAATTTATATGCAATAAAAAATACCCACTTTAATTATACAGTTTGCATTTCCTCAGATGTATACAGTAATATAACCACCAGGATAGTGAAGACAGGGAACATTTCCATCTCTCTGAATAGTTCCCTTGTGTCCCTTTTCAGTGGACCCTAGATCTGCTTTCTGATGCTACAGTCTAGCCACCTTTAACCCTTCCTTTCCTTTTTTTAAAAAATAAACTTAGCTTTTATTAAACAGTAATGTCTTAATTCAGAGTTTGAGTTATTATTTTTATCCCTATTCATGTGAAAGTAAATGTAATTTTTGTTGTCACACTTTGTTCTACAATCACTTAAAAAAAAAATTCTCAGCTTTCAAGCATGTTTTATCAACCTCTTGTGTACGTTGTCTGGCACTGTAACAGGTACTGTGGATAAGAACTAGAAATAAGAAAGTAGTGGCTGCCCTCCCCCGAAGCTTATGGAGGCATGGCTTTTTGTTTTAAGGAACCAACTAGTAAATATATATTTTTCTTGAAGCACTTCTTGACTTAGAACCTAATATTTTTCTGCAACTAGATACAACAAGCACATGAGTGTTTACAGCATTGGAGGCAAATCATGTTCACATGGAATTCACTCCAAAATTTAACTATAAATGTTTTCCCTCTTTCTTTCCTCCTCCCCACTTCAATTCCTAAATGAGAGTAGAAAGAACAATTTAATTGTAAGCCAGTCCACTGAATGAGTGTGTGTGCTATAGAGAGAGACTCGGATGGGAGAATTGAAGCTGCAATCCCTTCCTGTTCTCACAGGAGCTGCAGCAATAGGGCACACAGTGAGGAGGTAATGTAAAACCAAATTCAACTTATTGCACACCTCCTCCAAATAAGATACTACTAAGGACCATAGGCAATATGAGAAAAGATAAATTCACCTCAAGACTCAGAGCAGAACAAGACAGCTTCTATAAGGATTTATAACCAGCTGACACTATATAGAGATTCAAGGCAATAAAAATGCTATGGAGATTAAGAAGGGAAAAAAAAGGATGTGTTTGTTTTACTTCTGCACAAATTTTTAAAATTTTGTTTTATTTTTATTTTTTGATTGGAGATAGATGTACACTTGGTACTAAAATCCAAAAGGAACAAAAGGGTGTGGACTGAAAAGCCACCCTCTGACTTCTAGGCACATCTTTCAGTTCTCTTCTCCGGAGGCAGTCATTCTTACCAGCTTGTGTGAGCTTCTAGAGTTTATAGAGAACTTAGAGATTTATGAGTGTCTCAGTTTCCTGTGGCTGCTGTAACAAATTAGCACAAACCGGGTGGCTTAGAGTAATAGAAATGATCTGTCACAGTTCTGGAGCCCAGAATTTGAAGTCTGCATCACTGGGCTGAATCAAGGTATTGGCAGGGCTGCCGCACTCCCTCAGAGGCTCTAGGGGAGAGTTCCTTCTTTTCTTGTTCCAGTTTATGTCGCCTGCCAGCGCTCCTTCCTTGGTTTGTGGCCCCATCACTCCAGTGTTGAGGCAAGCATCTTCGTATCTCCCTCTGCTCCATCGTTACATAGCGTGTGTGTGTGTGTGTGTGTGTGTGTGTGTGTGTGTGTGTGTGTATACTCCCCCTCCAATTCTCTTATATGAACACATGTGATTGCATTTAGGGCACACCTGGATAATTCAGGATAATCTTGACATCTCAAGAGCCTTAACCTAATCATATCTTCGAAGTTTTGCCATAAAGGGTAACATTTATAAGTTCCAGGGATTAGGTGTAAATAACGTTTGAGGGGCCATTTCTCAGCCTACTGCAACAGTAAAATAAATAGCATACTATACAGTTTTCTGAACCTTCTAAGAGTGAAAAACGACTAACCCAAGGGTCTATTAATTCAGGACTGGTTAAATGATGGTACATCCATAGAACGGAATAAGGTGTCAGCACTAAGAAAAATGAAATAGACATACTGATGTGGAACCATATTCACTATAAAGTTTTTTAAGAAAGCAAGTTGCAGAGGTGCATATAAGTAAGGTAAAAATTTGGAAAGATAAATATCAAACTTAAAGTGGCTTTCCCTGGGGAGAGGAACGGGTGGGCTTTTTTGTTGTTAATCCTTATCGGGGGGAATTTTTCCGCGGATTTTTGGAGGGAGTAGAAGGGAGGGGGAGAGAGAGAGAAACATCGATGGGGGAGAGACACTGTTGGTTAACGCCCACACTGGGGATCGGAGCCTGGAACCCTGGCATGTGCCCTGACTATGAATTGAATCCGTGACCTCCTGGTTCGCAGGTCGCCACAACTACTGATCCACGTAGGCTGGGCTGTGCCAGCCTGCTTTACTGCCGGCATTTTTAAATCCATTATGGCCGAAACCATTTTGTCTCTTAGCATAGTATGTCCTCCTACAGACTGAATTTTTC